CACACACACACACACACACACACACACACACACACACACAATCCCAAGTTCTTGTGTTGGTTTGATATTGTAGCTTAATTTTGGAAACGATGAACAAAATACTTTTGATATAAATAGAATCAGTTATTCTACTGAGGGTGAACTGGCAGTATATGATTAAAGAGTATAAGAAGTGTGCAGTGGTGTGATGTAAAGGCAGGTTTGATTGTTTTTTGTCCTGCCTTTGGCCATGTCCAGACTTTATCCCTGTGTAAAAAGAACACAGCCCTCTCATGAATTTGTATGAGGCTAGTCCAGCGACAAACAACAACAATAACAACAACGCAGGATCGTCCTGCAAAAAAGCTGTTGTCTCAGTTCGGTGAAAAAAAACGACCTAATCACATCAACATTTTTGTTCTTTTTTTCTAATGATCTGTCTCTTTAGATCCATAGGAAGGGGAACATACCATATCTCTCTACTGACCTTCCAAGTCCAGGCTGCCCAGGATGTCCTCTTGACTGTCTGAGCTCATCGACGACGATGAGTCCAGGTTGTCATTGTCAGATTGCTCTTCCTCCAGGTCAGGTAACCTGCAGGCCAAGTCCACCCTGGAAATAACAAAACAAGATATTATTATTCAAACTCATGTCATTTATATGCATTACCCACCGGGCATTTAACTTCAATGAAAAGAATCTCAGCTCACTTTTCTTGCTTGATGGATTTGATCCTATCGATGAGGGTCCTCTCCATTTCGTCAGAATTTGTTTGGTCTGGAACATCGAGCTCTGAAGGCTTTTCAACAAGCTGCACAGAGATCACAGTGGTTGGAGTAGGTTTGGGTTTCAGCTGATAAATTAAGACACTGGCTTCAAATCAAATTCATTTTATTCCAAAAAAATGAGCTACTACTGTAACATACTCTTAAGAATGTAAAAGTGTATCCATCAAGTCTTTTAGATGCAAAAAAGGTGTTTTTTCTTTGATTAAACATTATATGCATTAAATATTGGGTGACAGTGTGGCTAACTCTGTCTTACACTAGCCATCTCCCAGTTTTCCTCAGTATTATGTATCTTATTCCAGCCAGATTGCCGGATGTAAAAACTTAAATTGACCCAGGTATTATTCTTTTGGTCTCGAAGTTTTCCCTCACCGTGTTTTGTCTCCTCAGTTTGAGCTGATTGACAGCCAGGGCCTCTGCGTATTCCAGCTCCTGGATATTCTGCATCTTCTCATTGTAGCGTCTGAGCTGCTCACAGATCAGGATATCAACACACCTGCAGGCAACACGGTCGAAGATGAATACACCCCCATAAAAACAATGTCCATCTCTAGAAATAAATACCGTGTATCCAACAAGAGCACGTACAGTATTTTGAGGACCCCACCTAGACTGATCCCTACCGGTGACCTCTTTATATCTTTATGATCCGTACTAATTTTTGGATTGTATATACTGTATTTATATTTGTATTTGCACCTTATTGTTATCTTAGACTTCTTGTATTTGCACTCTTTCCACTTTGTATTGCAAAATTGCAAATAAATAAAATACAATGTCCTGAAGAGTGGAGTGTGCAGTATCACTCACATTGTAGTCTTGCCCACATCCTTCATACCCAGGAAGGGGTCATCCACATCAGGTGAACGCAGTACGCAGGGGGCAAACACGATAGCAAGAGAGCTTGGTGACATCTTATTGTGCTCTTCCTCCTTTGCAACCCTAAAAAAAAAAAAAAAAAAAAGACACTCACATGAAGCTCTCAAAGGACTTTTATCTCACACAAGTCGACAACAGAATCAAATAATCACTGTGAGGAGTGGAGGATTCTTCGCATCACACATTTTAGAATATTGTGGAAATCTTTTTTTTTGGCTACAGACAGGACATAAGCATTACAGTTAATGAGTAGACACAGAAGAAGGGAATAAGGGATCGTCCTACCTGACAAGGTGAAAGATGAGTCGCTCCAACGTGTTGTAATTGGCAGGCGGAAGTTCATCAACCTTTTGGTATACAGCCCTTATCCTCTCAGCTTTCTCTGGCAGCTCTGGGGCCAAAAAAAACATGGAGATCAACAGGGTTGCCCTTCAAACAAAGGATTTTGGCGTCTAATCGATTAGTTGATTTAATCGACAGATCTGTAGAACCAAGGTTCTCCACAAAGAATCACACAAAAGCAACACTATAAATTATAAAGTGCATATAAGTTTTTTTGAAATAAGTCATTCAGCATGAGAAAACATTTAAAAAATGACTAATTGCCTAAAGAAATCTTAGATGACTAAAACCAAAATAACAGATTAGTTGACTAATCGACTTAGAGGGAGCAGTCCTAGAGAACTTGAAAATCTGGTCAGAGTAACATTCATATCAGGAATTTCTATCACTTATGACAAGTAGATCATAAATAAAGCTCAAAGGATTATTCTTATTCATTGATCGGCAACTATTTTAATAATTGATTCATCGGTAAGTAATTTTCTAGCAAATAAGCCAAAAGAAATGACTAGTTGCAGCTTCTCCAATGTGGGGATTGGCTGTTTTTTTCAGTTTAACATACCATCAATATTTACTCACCCACGGCATGCAGGAAGCCGCTGTAGAGGGAGAAGGTCATGAGGGGGTCCGGCAGCTCTCTGAGCCAACGCTTAACCAGACCTGTGATGGTGTGGATGGAGTAGTTGTCTAAACAGGGCCCTTCAGGATCTAATGCCACAAAACAGAACACACAGATGAAACGCACCAAAAAACATACAATAATATTATTATGACTTTTCATTCCTCATAATCAGGGGTCAAAGGATGTGATTCAAAGTATTGTGTTTTATAGTTCCTTAAAATTGTTTTAAAAACACAGCATACAAGGTATCATGAGTTCTGAAGTTATTATTTCCCTTAATTTCAACAACAAATAAGTGAACATACACAATAACAGAGGAGTGAAAGAATGTAGAGAGAATATGGGAAATCCTGTGGCTGTCCTTGCTGCACACCAGTCGTGTAATGTTATGTTGAACTCTAACATAAGCTGACTAATTTGAATAGATTTGTTGTGTTCCTAAAACAACATTTTGTGCATTACAAGTTGAGGCTGGTGTGCAGAGAATTACTTACCAGTCTGCAGAATCTGGTGGAGCTCCCTCGCTCGGCAGGTTGAGCCCGACTTGCGGTAAATACCCTCCGTGTAGAGGCCGTTCAGCTCCACGTGCATCAGCAACAACTCCACCACTTTGGGCACAGGGTTGGCTTTACTGGTGAGGACAGACACCTGCACCCCAAAGTGAAGGGAGCCTGGTACACTGTCATCCTATCACAAGAAAAGACAAGAGGAGGTTAAAATAAAGTTATTCTATCATAATATGGTATTTGTAGGAGTATTTAAAAATGTTAATCTACCTGTCTGGCACAGCGTGTCGAGCAATCTGTGATGATATTGGACAGGCATTTCTTGTGACATATTAACTTGCAAGCTTAAAATAAAAAAAGAGGGAAAAAAAAAAAAAAAGAGTTAAATTTAATTGTGTCCCTCTTTTGAACATTAAAAAAACAACCACATTTTGTGTTCATGCAGCTCTTTGAACTCACCACTGCACATGTAGGCTTTCTCCATTCCCCAGATGTAGGAGCCACACAAGTCACACGACTGCATGATGTTCACCTGGTATGTGCTGAACAGGTGATCCAGAGGACTATTAGGCTGTAGAGAGAGGATGTACAGACAATGCACTGGGATGAGTTACATGGACGTGCAATGCAAAAACTTCACAATGCAGATAATGATATTCAACGTACACATTTTTCCTTTTTCCTCCTCTTCTTCGTCGTCGTCTTGGTGGCCTGAGAAAAGCCAGAAGTGAGATTTATGAACGAGTCAAGGGATAGTTTATACCCACCAAGTCGTTTAGAGACTGACGATTGACTGAAAATCTCCGATTTACCTTGGCTGGTTCAGACTTCACTCGTTTTCGCTCGCCCCTTATAAAGCCGTCCAGCACAGACTGAAACAAGTTGACCACCAACGAGACCTCCGTCTTCTTCTTGGACCCTGCTAGTGTGTTCACTTTGTTGCGGTAGCCCTTCATCAGATCTTTGTAGCCAATTTGGGGCTTCTGTTGGTCGCAGAGTGTTCATGAAAAGTCAGTGACCACTTTCCACCATCTTAATTTGGCTCATTTGTAAGACATTCAGTAGCAAAACAACAATAAGTGACTTAATGGTTAAGACTTACAGATTGTACAGAGGAAGAAGCTGAACTGACCTTGACGGAGTACATGCCTTTGATGGTATCTCTGAACTGCATGGTGGCTGAGAGGAAGATGCTCTCTGTTGGTGACAGATCTTTTCTACTTCGCAACTCATTCACCTGAGGACCAAGACGAGGAAAGTATGAACAGGTGGAACACAACATTTTTCACATTTGAGAGGGGTATGGCATGCAACAAAGGACGGTTAAGTGGCCTGTGATTTAACCTTTTGGCTGCCGGGGTAACATTCTTTGGAGATTGGACAATAATAATAAAAAAAAAAATTGTGTAACTCTTCCACTATGAAAATGAACACATTACATATATTTTATGTCTGTGTACATTGACCAGTAAATTGTGAATTCATACATTATCAAAACTCTACACATAAAATCGAGCTAGTTTTTAATTTGACCTTTATTGAACCTTTACTTTTAGCAGGATAATCCCATCGAGATATATAATCTCTTTTCCAAGGGAGTCTTTCCTAAGAAGGCAGCAAATAAGTTTCACATAAAAATACAAATTACAGACTTAAAAACAAATTTTATTAGATTAATTTATGAATTAATTAATAAAGTTGTTCATTAACAGTTGAAATAGCCCTTAATCCTGTTTTTATAATGTTGCATGCTTACAAAATAATCTAGTTTAAAATGACTCTGTAGCACTTTTACCAAAGTTATTTCACAGTGTTCCCCCCCAGTTACACATTAATTTAATAATGCCACTTTTAACAACATTGTTGTTGTTGGTTATGTACACCATATCGCCCCTCAGCCACTCACACTGCCCCATCCATGACAGCTGGATGTGTGTGCTAAATGTATATTTATTCTGTGGATAGATAAAAAGTGTGAGATTCTGTAGCTGGGCGACAGTATATGACTGCACATCTACAGTAGAAACAAGCGAGAGCCATATGTGTGTCAAGATTTGAACGTGCTGAAAGTAAAACCCGAGTTAGCTGCTCTCCTCCTCCGGTGTAGATCTCACCTGATTGCCGAGGAATTCGTCCAGGTTTCGCAGCTCGTTGGGGTCGGTGATCTCGCGGTCCAGAGACGTGTTACCCTGCAACGCCCGTGTGGCCCGGCTGATTCGAATGGTCGGGTTTCGGCTGACCCTCTCACTGTCGTGGTTTGACCTGTGGTAGGGATGTGGAGTGTAGCTGGCCAAGGTGACTGCAGTCAGACGAGGGAGATGTGGCATTATTAGTCTGACACGACAGTTCAACAGTTTAACAAGAAATCTACTGGTGATGAACAGGATTGTTCTTCAAGATGATCAGAAAATAACCTCCAGATGGCAGTAAAGATAAGTCCCACATACATTTACTACAGTGCTTTCAACTGTCCCTTTTGCTTCATATTTAAAGTGTAGGAGTATATTTCTAATACTCTGCATTGTACAACTAAATATATTAAGATTGCTGCTTTTGGTCACCTGTATTTGATGGAGGGTCGTTGACCGGGGAATATTTAGGCGCCCGCTTTTTCAGGAATTTGCTGAGAAACCAAATCCTGTACAAAAGACAGTCTGTATCAACTCCATGCAGCAATATATCAACTACAGTAAGTATTGTTAAAACATGAAGCTTGGTCCTGAAAACATTGAACAATTTCCTTTGAACTGGAGTGAGAGAGTTTTACCTCTCAGGAGTTGTGAGTTGTGATTGGTTAGATCCCCGTTGTCCCGAGTCCTCATTGGTGCTTTTGGCTAGAAAACTGAACCTTGACCCATCAGTTTCTGCTGGTACCTGCAACAGTATCAAAACATGAACATGCTCTAAGCCATAATATATAACTTGCTAACCAAAAACTCGAAAGAACAAACTATCGTAAGAAAACCACCTTTCCCCACCATGCAGCGGCTGCACCACCACCAAACCACACCACATAAAACTGATGAATTATTAGCAACATAGCAGTAGTCCTTCACCATTTTTAACTCATGCAAAGCTGCACTGTCTCCTGCCACCAGCTGAACGTTGACCTTTTTGGATTTAATCTGTATGAGCAAAGTTAGTACATATATCAATAACATTGTGTTAAAACGTTTGTTATTTACAGATTCAAGTGATTCTTAAATCTTCCCCCGTTTATAAATTATGTTCATTATTAAATGTGAGTTTTTGTGAGTAACAATATTCCAGTGATGTTTATTCAATGATTAGTTTATGTTATGATGCCATGTACAGTAGATTAAAGTGTGTCCATGACAAAAGACAAAAGACTGAACAAAAATCAAATAGTGTCATATAATTGCCTAAATCAGATTCATTAATCATAATTCATTCATTGTATGGTATTTTAGGTTTTTGTACTATAAACATGAACAAAATGAACAGAAATTAAGCAACAAGCTAAAATAATTAAAGTTACAATCCCCGTCTTCATTTTAAAGTGACGAAGAAACAGTGACTGAAAAGCAATACACCATATTCTGTGGTAACTCTGAACTGTACCTGCTGACCTGAAGCTCATTTAAGAAAAAAAAAAAAAAAAAAAAAAAAAAAAAAAAAAGAGTCAAACAATATCAGAAATGGGCTTTTAAGATTTCCTTTTTGTGTTTCGGAAACGAGAGAACTTTTTTTTTTTTCTCCTTGGCTGCGGCACAGAAACGATAAGTGTCCCAGAGCAATGCAACCTTCAATCCGTTTGGGACATACACATGCAAGGCCTGCATGCAGAGGAGAGCCGTGGTCGGTCTAAATGTCCCTTCGGTCAGTACCTTGACCTGGGATTTGGAGGCCCGGAGATCCATGCTACTGGCCGCGCCCCTCAGGTTGGCTACATGGGGGCTGATGGGAGGCAGCGGAAAGCTCCAGTACTCGCTCTCCTTGGAGATCCCAAAGTTCAATAGACTGCTGCGGGCGTAGGCTAAGCGCCGCTTGCGTTTGGGCTGCTTGCGGAAACGCACCCTGACCTGATTGGGCCAGGAAACGTGATGAGGCACAGACTGGGAGCCCTTCTTTGATTCATGCGTAAGGAGCCTCCATTTGTGTAGTTGTCAGTTTACAGCACACATAACTACAGTTCTTTGAAATGCCAACATTTATTGTTGTACAGGACACTTGCAACTGTATGAGGAGCAAAACGTTAAATGGATTGAATGTTCTAGAGTTTCTAAAATGATGTAATACCATATTGACAAAGATTACCTCGTTGGTAGAGGGTGAGCCATCAGAGCCTGATGAGCTGATCGTTGATAGTTCATCAACAGACAAGGACTTCCCTTTGAGCCTGCGTTGCAGAAGGAAAGAAGAGCAGAGCTGTGGACTATTGTGGGACTGTGCAAGTATTGGTACCAGCATAAAGATAAAAATGATTGCCATGTAGACACAAAGGAAGTTTATGATTTATTAAAAGAGCTTGTTGGGGCCATATTAACAGATGTCCGACATTTGTGGAGAAAGATTTCTCTGACTTTAGGATGCTTACTGAAACTCTTTCCGAACGCCTTGTCGCCGCCGTAGTTCTGGACTTGATTCATCCGTCCGTTCTCCGTCGCTCTTTCTTCCCGTCCACCGCTCCGCCTTCTCCTTGAAGGCCCCACCATCTGTGTAGCGCTGTAGCGAGCTGCTTTTAGAGGGGCTGGTGCGGTCATCACTGCCAACTTTAGGTTCCAGTGGGAGGGAGAGGGGCCTGTTGAGAGGGGGAGGGGATCCTCTGCCCTCTCGCTTCTCTCTGCTCCTGGACCTCTGCTGGGTCCTGTTGGGGCTGAGCTCCACTTTTTGCTGCCTGGTCAACTCCCTTTTTGTCAAACTGTTATGTAAGAGCCACTAAATCAGACTGGCATCACAAAAACATATCCATAATACAAAGGCTTATGCTTTATTTTCAGTTTGGAATCAAATTCCACCTAAAATGCACATGCTGTACAGTAAACTGAACAGAACAGAAAATGCCAAAAATATTTGTTTATGCTTTTTAATATTTGACCACTACAGTAACTAGCATTTTTATTTACATTGCTTCTATGGCTTTGTAAGAAAATTGTTTTTTCAAAGACAAGCGCACTATTTGATTTGGTTTTTAAACAAACATTGAGTAAAATTGTGATCATAGAGGCTCATTTCAGTCAGGGTTGGGTGGATGGCATGCAGCACATTATCCCAGTACACCCGTCATGTTATGTCAACAAAATGGACCCAATATTTACACTTTTCATTTTCACGTGTCTTGGGGAACCTGCTAAAATACATGTGCTGGCTTCTTTTCTAAAAACATGCAGTTGTGTAGGTTTAGTACGTACCTGTCCCGTCCAGGCCGGGCCTTGGACATGTTCTTATCATCCGTCTTATGTTGGTGATTTGACTTCTTGAGTGAACTCCTCCATGCTGTCTGGATCACCGTAGCAGCTCGGTTTTGGTTCTCATAAAACCCACGCCAGTTTCTCTAAAAAAAAAACCACCGGAAATCCTCTGTCAACTTTAATCTGTTGTACTTTAACTCGTTTGTGTGACTTTATTTTTCTTTTTTCGACAGGATACCGAGTAGGAAAGACACAGGGATGTACAATATTATTTTTCTGTTTTAGTTTCTACTAGGCACTGTTGTATTACTTCTTATACACTTTATAACTTTACTTTTTAATCTTACATTGTTGTAATTTACTTTTTCTATTTTATTATTTTACTATATTTACTGTTATTGCTATTTGGCACTGGTGTCAGTATTTGTTCTTAAACACTTAATACTCTATTGTTGTAAATAATAAAAAGATTTTCTTTTGTTGTTTGCTCTTTTTTACAGTATTTTATACGATGAATGGTACCTGTATAATCATTGTGGCATCTCTTTTTTGCAGGAAGTGCATCCTTAACAGAATGGCACGGAACCAGCGCTGCATGATGATGATGTGACGCATCATTTCTTTGTTGTGAGTGTCTTGGAGCAGTTGCCGCTCCTTCTCCTTGAGAAACACCTGAGTAGATGAAAGAGAGCCACACAAATGATGAAACCACTGGGAACATCTATACTGTGTTATCTGTGGTACATTTTAATACATGCATTACTTACATTATGTGACTTTTATGTGTTTTTATGACTTTAAGTAAAGCATGAAATCTGCTATGTCTTTTTAGGAAGTGATTCATGACAATAATGAACTTTAAGAGACATTTTAATGTTCACAAAATTCCTGCTTGTCACGTCATTTGTTGGATGCGTTAAATTCAAAACATATCAACAGAAATAGGGTACATGCAGTACTCATGGGTGACCTAAGTATGAAGTAATTTCCCAGGCATGGCAACGTTTCATCCTCTGACCATTGTGATACAGAGGACCATAAGTTCAGAATAAATGACTGACATGATCAAGAATATTTACCTTGGTTTTTCCTATTTGATAAGCGGTCTTATCCAGCTCCATCTTCTCAAGCAGTTCAGTTATGTGCTCTGGCGTCACAGTAGCTCCTTTTGGAAGCAACATTCTGAACTTCTCAAAAAATCCCTGTCATCAAAAGAAAATGGTTTCAGAAGTGCAAAGTGCTTTCTTCTCACTAGCCAGGTTTCCTTCTAAATGTGTCACAAACTTGAATTTCGATAAAATCTGCGAAAGAACATGCGAATCAATGTTTGTTTTCATCCGCTAAAGTTATGCAATTATTAGGAGCTGGTTCACCCAGATGAGCAGTAGGTGGCACCAATTCTACAGTCGGAAAACCATTTCACCATTGCAGAAGAAGAGGGCGCAGCAAGATGATGTAATTAAAAGAGCACCAGTCGACCTCAAACGGTGAAAAACATTGCAGGAAACTTGATAGAAATATGACATTTCTGTTTGTTTTTAATGTAATAATGTGAAGAAGGTCACATCAGATCTGTGTGGAGCAACGACGAGACTCCTTAATCTGCTGCTATCTTTCATCTCTTCAGCAGACCAGAAGCTTCAGTGGAAGTGGAAGTCTCATGCATCATGTACTTCATCATATATTTGCTAAATCTGTTTCCATTGCACTTTGTCAAATTTTGCTTTTAACGGTACACCAACTTTTTCACCTAAACCAAGCGTAAAAACATAATTCAGAAGGATTGCCCACCTCGAATGTGTATTTGGCACTGTAGCCGGACTTCTGGATCTGAACCATCTGCAGTATTCCATGGTACTTGATTTGCCGAAGCACAAGTTCATCATCGAAGTGCAGCTCCTTCTGCAAAAGCAAAACATTTCCCCCAGTGATGACCTGTGTTATACGGTCCAACATGTAGGATTACATTAACAATGAGGATGATGGAACAGAATCACAGATGCCGTTACCTTTTCAGCGTTGGAGCGAACACAGAAAATAAAGAATGGCTCGGCTTTTTCAATTGCCTCCATCAGCTTTCCGAGTGAGGTCTGTGAGACACAGAAGTGCAGTGAGCGATGGTTGATTGTTTTGTTATTATGATAGTATATTATCTTTTTCCTAAAATGAAAGGAACTGTTTGGAGTTTTTTCAAAAGCCATCCCCCTTTTCATTCTCTGTACTCTTGTAGTACAGTACGTGAGTCGGCCTCTGCAAACAATGAATCTCATTTCGAGACTTGAATCAAACTCTTCCCTGCCACAAACATGAATGCAACATGAAGTGATGATTAAAGTTATCCTTTATGAAACAGAGCCATAATGGTCAGCAAAAGGTGCAGAGAGAACAAACCTGAAACTGAGTGCCAACTGTCGGGGGCATTGTCCTCCGATGAGGGTGGAAGATGAATTTGCTGGTTTGGTCGTGTGCGGCGAGTCCAACAATATGTCTGAGGGACTGCAAATCCACGAGGTTCTGTTTGAAGAAACAGAATAAAGTCTGTAAGCTTTCTGACTCCCGCAACAAAAGGACTTTGGAGGGAGACATGGATGAAAGGATGAGCTGAAGAATGAACAAACTCATTTTCACTTTTTAAGATGGACAAACATCAGTGTAAGAGTGCTGGTTTTGAAATTATGTAAAAAGCTGTGAGCTTCACCAACACTGCACCCGTTTGTAGCAGCAATCTCCTCTCTCTCTCTGGTAATCCACATTACCACTGTCACTGTTGTCGTCTGTGTATTGGCAAATAACCTTCTCGCAAAATGAATCTTCAGACTCTGTTTTAAAAGTTTACTCAACCAGATTCATTCTGTGCTCAATGCTATGACGTAATCAGTAGCCTTACTAAAGGAGCATGTCAACGTCTTTGCTACTAAATAACCAAACATCGTATTAACTCTAATGTGGCTCCTACACCACCATTAGCAGTTTACCTTTGGAATGAGCTGCTTGTGTCGACTGCCTCGATTTTTCCTGCAGAAAAGACAAAAAAGATGAAGTGTTTCCATTCAACATGCAGCTCTGGAAATAAAAAACAAAAAAGCTAACACATCAAAATCAGTGTGTTTAAACTAAAGCCATGAGGCCCACTTACTTTCTCTTTTCATAATTGACAAAGATGTCTTCAAATGCATCAAGAGGATGTTCATCAGAGCGATCAAAGGAGAAATCCAGAGTCAGGCTGTTGCTGTAAATGTCAGAAAGGTACTTTTATTATTTATTATTTATTTTAAGGTGTATTTTTTTCTTTTGACAAGCATACAGTAACAGGTGACCATTAATGTTAAGGCACATGCATTGTTTGTTCTGGGTCACTATTTTGTCTTTGAAAAAGAGTGTGACGGTTGTTTTGTGAGAATACATTTTCTTGTTGTGATCTTGTGTTTATGTAATATGGTCTAAGGCTTCTCTTTCATAAGAGATCTCAATGAGATATCCTTAATAAATAAAGCTTATCTAACTAATTATCTAAGAATAAATGAGTAAATGAATGAAAAAGTAATTAATATAGTATTTGTGCCTGTGTTTGTGATGTAATCTAGATGATCGATCGCTACAGTTGTTAATCAATTGTTAATTCTCTAAAACAGAAAATGCCTGCCTGATTTAAAACCCATTGTCAGTTTGAATACATTGGGTTGTATCATAATGAAAAGTAAGTTGGAACAGAGACGTGTCAGTGGCAGTAGAATCCACTATAACCGCATTAGTGTAGTACATTTACCTGGACAGTCTCTCCAAAGCACTGCTGCTCTTTTTCATCTCTTTGAGGGTTTTGCGAGAGCCTCGTCGAGCAGATACTGTGGCGACAAAACAACAAATCAGTTGTATGTAATGAAACATTTCTCAAAAGAATAAGAACATGTTGATGAGATGGAAGCTGACTGAGTCATTCAGAAAACATCAGTTAAACAAACATGTCATTCCTGCAAAGATGCATCTGACATTTTTTTTTTTTTTTTTTAAACAAGGTGAATTATTTCAGCTGCTGAAAATGAACATGTAAAAAAAATACATGTGTCATACCAAAAAGACATCACTTTGGTCTGTGACTCAAATAAATACATATAAATATAGAGTGTATGCTTAGATGTCAGCTCGATTAGCAACTAAAGCTACTTACGTGATTCTGCCCGCTGGCGTCCCAGTTTCTTGAATACTGCGAGGATGCGGATGGTGGCTCGGAGGACTCCCCATCTGAACAGAGCTTCTGGACTGGATGCAACCAACTGATGAACAAACGCCCGCTCGCTGCTCCGTAGAAGTGATATGACTTCAGGACGCATGTGCTCCGTGTTTTTCTGCCGGAAATCCTTTAGAACAAAAAGAATCACGATTAACATGCTGTATTCCTTGTTTTCTTCTTGCAGTTGCACAAGGGAGCCCCACATGCATTACTTGTATTCACAACCTTCAACTTCACAGTGCAACAACAGTCTTCTTGGGGGGAGGGCGCAGCATTAATCATTCACTTAGTTCAAAGATTTTCCAGGTTTTTCTCACGGTGGCTTATCTAACAAGGCTACTGCAGACCCATCACTGTGTTACAGTGTACTTTTGTTGAATTTCAAATGTGTATTATTTACTTTGTAGAATAAAGATGTTTGCAGTGTGGGAAATATACCCCACCTTGATGTGATATTTAATCCTTCCAGCAAAGTGTCGAATGACAAAAGTAGGCTCTCCATGTGAGGACAGAACAAATAATGGGTTGTCCCTATGTTGCTGCTTCAACTTGTCCAACAGGGTTTCATCTGTGGCCTGAGGGACTCTGAAGATACACAGAGAGAAAGACAGAATATCAGTATCCGTTTCCTAAAAAACAATGTATCGACCCATACAAAGGAATCCTCAGTTATAACCCACTAGAACTGTGTGGCGGTGTCTGTATCTGCAGAGACCAGGCCTTCTGCCTGTATTTTCTTATTTTGTGTTGTTCGGGGCGTTTCTGGGCACCAACCTCTATAAAAAAACATAGCGACCAGGTGCCAGATCGTAAGCACGCATTCCAAGAGGAATCTACGAAAATAGCGGACACAGCTCGGACAAAATGTTAACATAGCAAGCGAAAAGCCAAGCGGACAAAGCTCTTTCTAAAACGGGACTCAATCAACAGTTGACTTTCACCATACGAATACATATGCATAACATACGGTATGTGGTAAAGAATATCAACAGCAACATCAACTCATCGACTAGAAAGGTAGAAAAACACTTGCTGAGATGATGATTTCACTGAATTTTTACTGAAAAAACTATACAATACAAAAATAATATTTATTTTTTTGAGTTTTTTCTAATATCAATTTACAATGAACATGCATGCAGTTTTGCTTCCTTAAGGCATGTTGACATCCATGTAACATGAATTTGATATCCTTTCATTTTGACCCGACAAAGATCCAAGCAGGATCGAAACATGCATTTTAATTTCTTTGACCCATATGATATTAATATGATATTACCATCACTTAATTTAATTTCATGTTTATTTGGTAAGGACAAATACATATACATAGAGAATTGCAAAACAAGTGTCCAATGCAGTGCATCACAGCCTTTTTAGCTACTGCTAATTTCCCATCATATGTTGAGTGTGAGAAATCACAGCGGGGGGGAATGTTACATGTTCACCTACTTGCTCTCCATATCCAGCAGGTCAAAGAGTCCAGTTGACTCCTTGCTGATCAGCTGAATGCAGCCGCTGTTGTCAGTGTAGTCGATGTTTTGCCAGGTGATGCCCTCTGACACATAATCTTCCTGTAATATATTGAAATTTCAACAAATATGTAAATCGGTTACTCGGGGGTAAATGTAAATTAATGTGTCTCTGTGGCACTGACGAAGAGATGTATTCGTAACAGCCAAACAGTAAATACAGTGTCTGCAAGTTTCAAGACTACTTAATGCCAACTGGATTCAAAAATAATAAACAAAAAATGGAAAGCACCAAGAAACACTTAAAGGACATTTAATAAAAAGTGCCGGCCATGCAGAGACCAAATACAGAATGAATACTAACCACCCCTGAATGTCACGAAAGATTCAAATGAAGAAAAAAAAAAAAAACACTGACTTGCTCGAGCTTGAAGACGTGCTGGTTGATGTAATACTGCAGTTTCTCATTAGAGTAGTTGATGCACAGCTGCTCAAAGCTGTTTGTCTGGAGGTTCTCGAATCCAAACATATCCAGGACGCCGATGGACAAACACTAAAAACACAACAGAAAACAGCACAATTCATAACCAACATACAAAACAGCAGCACACTAGAACCTTGATCATAATATTCAATAGCTACATTAAGTGACGATAAACCTATGTTCTTATGCATGTTTGTATTTCTGATATGAAATGCAACTTTGACTTCAGATACACGAGAGCACATCATATAATTCCCTTTTCAGCATTGCATTTGATGATACTTTGTTATATTTGAATATGATTTAAAAATGTTCCAGTGGGCAAATTAACTTTGAAGTCAAAATCATGCAGATTGAAAGTAGTTTTTCCCTGTCCAATTTGACTAAACATGTAGGCCTCCTGCAGCCAATGCTGCAGTTTATGCCTGCGAGACTTACGGTGACCGACTCCTTCATGTCTCGTCTGTTGAACATTGCGTGGTTGATGTGAAGGATGATCCAGTCAAACAGAGCGCTGTATAAAGACTTGGCCATGGAGTCCCGCACTGTGGAGGCCTAAACGCACAGAAACACCACACAAAGCTAATTACAACTCAAACTCAAGTGAAATAAAAAGCTTTTGCAGACCTCAACTCATATTAAACATATTCATATCATATTTAATAATTAAACATAAAGGGGCAGCTCTAATACTACATTTCACTATATACCTCTTGTAGTGTGTACTGCGATACTACGGTGGCGTTGGCGGTCATTACTCTCCTCTTGGTCAAAGCCTTGACCAGTTGCTCCTTTTTCACCTAGAAAAACAGTTATACAGAGAGTTTCACAACACTGTCACACATTATTTATCCCACACAAAAGCCCTAGTAATGACTCAAACACAACAGGTTGAAACATGTTTGTTCTTAAACAACAACAGGTTGAAACATGTTTGTTCTTAAACAACAACAGAGAGCTATTTTAGGTGTAGTGATGACGCAGTTCATTTCCAAGAGTTACTGTGATTTCATCCCAAGTACAGGCTTTTTATTGAACACCAGAAATCAAATGGAGACTGTAGATGATAACTCCAGATGATAATTTAGCAATTAGCATAATCAATTGTTTCACTTCGGGAACGTACTTTGAGCAGGTTAGACAGTGTGGACAAAACTTCAGCAGGTCCAACATCCAGGACTTCAGTGGCCTCCGACTGTGTGTACGTCACATTGCCCAGGTGCAGGATGGCAGAGAGGATGGAAAATATTCTGCACAGTAGAAGTAGACACACACAGACAGATGGCTTATTTCTGGCTGAAAAGCATATACATCATTTTGACTAGCTGTGTATTTTCAGTTGCATACTTTATATTCCATGAAATATCCATATTAAAATACACATGAGATATCTCAATATCCATTTAAACAACAAATCTGACTGACTTGTTTCATATTCGGCATGTCTCTAATAACCCAAAGGCCGGTGTGCATGTGTAGCTAACAGCTGAACATTGCTATGTTGATGTTATATCAGTGTTGCCTTCTGAGCTCGTCTAGTACTGTAGAGGATAATAGTAGTCGATAGGTGATGACGGGTGACGCCATGAAGTTACACCATTGGCCCTTGTTCTTTCAAAATGAATGGGCTCGACAGTGATGACGTCTTTGCCTCTGCGATCAATCACGTGACCAACTTTCTCAATACACACGAGGTTGTTGCGCAACGTGTTTGTCACTACCGTCACCTGAAAACCTCAGACCAGAAGTTTGTGTCACTGTTTTTTTCTGTATAAATGTATATTTTCCTGTATATATACACATTATGTTTCAAACGTGGTGTTTCAATCCTATATTTAGGGTGTCGACACAGTTTGATGAATATGTTATGAGAGTAACTGTAGCGAGTGTGTGGTCGAGGAGGAGAGCGAGATTGACATTGGATGCACTCAGAGAGCAGACAGGTGTTGACAATCGGGTGCAGAGAAGGAATGACCAGTAACGTTGTCAGGCGGTAGTAAATGTACAGTGCAGGTTTCCGCTTGTTCATGAATAAATGCTGCAGCTCACCTAAGTGAGAATCAACAAAACAAGGTCCAACTGTGCATTGCTCTGTAGAAGCCGTCACTGTCTCTTCAGTGTGGTTATTCACCAGGACGACCAACCTGAACAGATTACAAACTATGCTGCTCACGCTTTAATGTGTGCGAGGCGTCCTGAGGCCGTCAGGCGCTTGACGACACGCTTACCGCATTTTTCCCCTGCTTGACTTGACAAGCCGTGACCTGTTACAGACACCAGTGTAGAAATGAGGAACTCTTCAGACAGTGTTCAGTTAAAGAACAAATGACTTTGCCTACCTACAATATCTTTCGATTGTAACAGCTATCTGTGAGCTGTGTGTAAGCGTTGTATACACCGTCTGACTGAGATTGATGTCGGGCTGTGTACAGCAAATATTTGCTGTAAATCCTAGCTTTCTTCTTCCTCCAAGTGAGCGCGCTGAATAATGATAATATACATTTCTGGTCTTCTGGCATGTGCTGTTGTGTTATGTTGAACAGAAAAATAACCTAATTATTATTTACAAACAAAGTGTTTTGTGGGCACATTTTACACTGGACAATTAACTTTTAACTTGTCCTAAAAGGTCAGTAAAGCTACACTGGTCAGTTTGACTCCGGCCTTCAGCTTTGCTGTTGTGTTGTTTATTATCAAAATCATACATACTGTTTCTTGGTGGAGGCCAGGAAGCCAACCATCTCCATAGCTTGATGGAGCCTCTTGTACTCATGCCCAAGTTTCTCCTCGTCATCTAAAGGGAGCACTTCCTGCAGAACAATCAGAAGGGATACGAAGAGAAAGAGGTGCTTAATATTATAACGCACAGCCACAGAGGTGTATGAATGGAAACAGAGAACACCGGCAATCTAAAAGGTCCACACATGTAGAAACCAGACAAAGGAATTGTCTCTTTTCTTGTTGTTGTTTTAATCCAAAATGATCGACTCCCTCACTTTTACTAATTCATTGATTTCTTGTTAATATTTGAGGTTTAATCTGATTCTCTATAATGTACTTTGGTCAACATGTGTTATTTGTAAGTGCTCTCTATAAATAGATTGACTTGGCTATACAAGATTTTACAGGTAAATTCAGTGAGTGACAGTAAACTATGCTGCACCCGACTGAGCTAAAAGGCTATTATATTAGATTATATCATGTATTATATTATAATTTATATCCTAATGTTTGACCAAAGCTATAACAAAAGACGTACAGAAGCTATTTATAAGAATTAGTTGAGACTGCAGCTGGCACGCCATAAATCATTAACTCAAAACACAAAACATAAAAAAGGGAGAATATGGGAAATTGCTGGTGGTTAGTCCATGTTGAAAGATTACTTGAAAGCAGACAGAAACAAAGCTTTTCAGTTGGTGTCAGTGTGTTTTTTAGTCCACACCAGGGTTCAATTAAATAATAACATTTTTAAAAGACATAAATAAAAAGGACTAAATAGGCAACAGTATCATTATGTGAACATGGCCTGAAATTCTCAATATAATAAAATGATTTTGAGGGAAAGCAGCTTAGTGAAGCCTAGTTTAACTGCAGTTTAACAGTTTTATGTGAGCGAGAAGTTTCTAGATGTTGTGGGTCTGTCTCTATAAAACATCTACCTTTGGTTTTCCCCGTTTGACAATATAAAGCTGGTCCTCCCCCGTCTCTGCTGTTGTAAAGTGTGTGGATCAAAGGTACCTGCTTGAGGTAGAGATAATCTTGCGGCTTCAACAGATGGAACTCCTTTTTCTCGTCTTTGGATGCGCCCACCAGCAGATAGTAAAACACGTGATAGCTCCTGCGGGTCAGAGGTCACAGAGCACCATTATACACAATCAGGGCTCACGTAAGTTTCATTTCAACTCTGTTTCCGAGTGTCTTTAATATACCTCTCCCCTTGATCTCTGGACACCAGGCGGAACTTATCCAGTAGGTACTTCTTAATAACTGCCCTGCAAGAGACACAAGAAGAGAATGTCAACAAAACCTATGAAGCTTTGGTGCGGTTGCCAACATTGCACAATTATGACACAAGGAAAACGAACTGTTAAACTAAACAAATATATCAACCAAGATAAAGTAAACTCTGCTGCAGAAGCCTTGAAGATTTACTAAATAAGTAGCGAAGGTTGGTGAGAAACATAAAACATGAAGCCTTACCCTCTGATGACACCGTTCTCCAGATAGTTGAGCTGGATGAACTTCCCAAAGCGACTGGAGTTGTTATTCTCTGCCGTTTTAGCGTTGCCAAAGGCCTGTTTAAAACATAGCGAACATAAGTTTTCACTGAAATAAACAGACAAATGTGTAGGCATATTTCTCACAGACACTGGCACCCACAAGTAAACACTGCAAATGTTTACAGCACAGAGCAGCGATCCAATAAATAACTTTGGTTTTTGGATGGCAGAGTCGTTCCCGGTCCAACGACAGAAAATGAGGACCATTCATCTGCGGATCTTGCTGTTGTTGGGGAAAATACTAATTTTTATGGTCATGTTTTTGTTGGCAACATTATGAAACATTGAAGATCAAGTTGGCCCAACTCTGAACTAGGACTTTTCATTATCACTTAAACTGTTGATTATTTTCTCGGTTAATTGATTCATTTTTAGTCTAACATTTTTGGGTAAAGTGTCAAAAACTTCCCAGAGCCCAAGGTGACGTCTTGAAATTGCTCGGTTTGTCCAAAAAAGATTGACTGATTGATTATCCCACTATTTGTTGCAGCTTTGCTCTGAACAAATTAAGTGAAAGCAAAGCCGCTCTCATGCGCGTCGTCTGCAACAACATCTGAGAAAGAATCAGCATTCAGACAAATTAGACATCAATTGAAAACAGAGTTAGTAGGCATCATCTCACTGATACAGAGGCCCTAAGAGGCATGTGAGGAAATATAAATCTGGTGATCCATTTTCTAAGTCTGATCTAAATTGTTTTCTGTGCCAGGATCATTTCGTTTTTTGTTGTCTTCCAGGTGAGTTTTAATTCCTCCATGCATTCTAAACACAAGGTACATATGTTGTATGTTAACAAGTTATGCAAATTAAAACTCACTGAAAGAAAACACGAATGCTTTTAGTCATATTTAGTAGATTTGCACTGAAGCTTCTTGTGGCCGAAAGTAGTATTACAGCAACAAACAATTGTGGCAAAACATTTTTTTTCTCTCTACACAAAACTTTTCTTACAGTTGAAAACTATTAATGAACTTAGGTGAAAAAAGGTTTGATATGTATGATAATATGAAGCAGTACTTAAAGAAAACTGCTATTGTTTCACCAATGTTATGAATGGTAAATCACTAAATCTGGTGAGAAGGAACTACTGATTAGTCAACTACCACAAAATTGACAGCGATCCTAACAATTGATGAATTTATCAATTCAAAGTTATTTGTAATAAACGGCCAACATTAGTTGATTTTTAAGTCATTAAATTAAATAACTTTATTTTTTAACAATGCAAGTAATTTAAAAACACTTTGGGATCTGAAAAACTGGATGAGAATTTGCCATCATCTTCTAACCTAAACAATTAATCAAAAAACAAACTGCTATGATAATCAATGATGAAGATTGTTCATTAGCCGCATCCCAAGAGGAAACTTTATGATTGACGTCACAGTTACATGTTTTGTTATTCTGTGTGACTAGAGACGGTATCCAAGGTTCACTATCAACAACTAAACAGACTCCACCTACGCAGAGTCCCCACTGACTGACACATACAGGATTATGAGTGCTAATGGTTGCAGCTGACTCTGGATCAGCTTTTACTTCCCAAGTTTGAACCATTTCCCAAAGGAGAATAAAAATCCAAACTGAGCCCATGTCTGACGTACTGTTCTCCCTCATTCCAGATGGAGATATGCTGATGGTCGTGTCTTAACAGGCAATGCTTGCACAAAGAGCGAGCCAGACCTGCAGAATGTACTGAATGCACGCTGGCAGGTAAACCTTTGAATTACTGGAATGTTCCTTCCCTGTGCACCTCTGTAAATACAGAGCATGGTTTTCATTGTCAACCAGATCAATCTAACATATATGAAGACGTTGAAGAACAGCACGTGGTGAGAAGACGGTGTGTGGAGGAGGGAGAGAAACAGATGTTTGCCACGTCGTAGTTTGAGGTATAGATCCTCTGAAGGACACTATCATAGGGACGGCCAGGTTGAAATCACTCCTCCAAAAACTAATGATGCATTCAGGTAGAGCTGGTTTGTTTGTCAAGTAACACAAATTCCAGGCTTATCATCAGGAATTTGGCCTCGAAAAACTGGTGGGAAATGTGGGAAATACCAGTGGAAAACTGGAACAGGTTCGATGACGCCTGATTTGACCGAATGAGCTGTGACATTTCACTTCGAAAGATGATGGACACGGGGAATACTGTTTATTTAGAAAATGGACAAACTGATTTAATCGAACAATCTCTGCATTCAGCTTCTCAAATGTCAGGATTTGCTGCTTTTCTATCGTTTACATTAGGGTTGGGCGATATGGAGAAAATCAAGTGCCATATTAGAATAGACAAAATCTAAGCTATCTAGTCTCGTATCACGGTATTGATATAATATCTATGTATTGCTCAGCCCCAGTTTACAGCATTATAGATTAAATGTCTTTGGATTTTGGGCTGATGTCTGACAGAATCAAGCAGTTTGAAAATGCCACTTACAAATGTCTTTGTAATTGAGGTTGACATTTTTTACTATATTCTGGCATTAACCAAACAAATAATCGATAGATTCATTGACATTCAAAATAACTGTTCGATTCAGCCCTAATCAATTGAATTCTAATGCTGTCTACAAAGTATATTAGGCTGCTAAAAAGGAAAGAAACTATGACAATGGAGTGTTAAAGGCCTCAAGGTTTCAAAAAAAATCCTATAAATCACAAGAAAAAAAACGGTCTGAAAAAAATTAATTTGTTTTTTCTAGCACAAATGTTTTTTGTCTGCTTGCTTTTTGTTTTGCAACCCCTTGAATGGGTCACAATCCCCCGGTTGGGAACGACTGGTCAATGACCACCTAGTGGTGATGTGAGATTTCACATCTGACTTTGTGAGTTGCAGATCTACCCCACCTGAACATTGTATTAAACAACTGATGCTAAATGAATTGCGGGATACTGAATGATGAAAATGATATACATCAGTTGTGTCTTAAAGTTCAGACAAAAGAGAACATTGGGATAAAAAATGGTTTCGACCAGATTACACCTTGAAAACGTAGACCTCAGAGAATCAGAGATCCCTCAATCAAAACACAGCTGAACAAAAGGGGGAAGAAAGCTGGAAGAAAGAGCAGAGAGAGAGTGAGAGAGACTTCATGGCCTAGGTTTGCCCACAGACCTGGCTGAGCCTGTTCTGACACGTTCCTGCTTCTCTTCTCTCTCAGGTGATCCCTCAAAGACAACGCCCTGCAAACTACCCCTCTGGAGCTGGCTACCTACTGCACATTTTTTCCCATATTTGAATACAACTGTGATAGGCTGCAGTGTCACAATCGTGTGCAGTTTCCGCAACATTCTGATGTCAAGTGAGATAACATTGAATTCAAAGATAGAAGGAAAGAAAAATAAGTCACGGTTTTGTAATTCCAGGTAAAAAGGAAGAAGTATTTTAGGGTGAGACTTGTGCATATAAAGGAAATTCAAAGACAGCAGAGGGTGTTTTGCAAAGCAGCCAAACTACAGGACCATATAGAAAAACAACAACTGATTAACACACAACTTGATCCTCATTACGACAGTAGGCAGCTTGCCAATAGGTCTGGCTTGGCCTACATTGATATCCAGTTTGGGTGTAAACACTTGTGCATGTTCTAAGGCTAACTGTTGTGCAATGACATCTCTATTTTCCCTAAGTTTGTTCCTTATTGACCCAGTAAAAAAAAAAAAAAAAAAAAAATCACAACAGAACAACGAGCCACTTTCCAGCTAAATCTCTGCTTCCTTGAATGCCTTTCAGGAGAAGAGCTTAAAAGAACACACTGCCAAGAAGTTAACAGGAAAAATACTTCAGCTGTTGCTTAAGAAACACGTTGGACTCGTTCAGAGAGAGAATCCATATTTAGTCAATCTCTAATGATAAGCTGACCCCATGGTGTGTGTGTGTCGGGGTGTGTGTGTGACCAGTAACAAAGCGGGCCAGGATCCTTGGTGAAAAAGGTTAGTCACTCTATTGATGGATGGATATACTATGTGCACTTTCACACTGATTGGTAGCTGGAACACATTTAACTGGTGCAAAGTGAAGAGACACAAGCAGCACTTTCGAAAGCAGCATGAAATAAAACAATTTGTTTTGTATCATAAATGAGCGGAAACCAACTAATGCATTGGCTCCCACTTGGCGATGTGTTCTCAAAAAGTTCAGTAAAGCTGGTTTTCTTGTCAGTCATCATTTAAACACATTGTGCAATTCAATAAACTGAACTGAAACAGAAAGCACACATCACGGGGAAATGTGTCGCCCCGTTACTCATTGAAGAGATAGTTACTGGAACACATGTGGCTACCAATAAAGAAACCTTTTAACCTAAATGAGTGAGACTGAAGTTTTTGGGTTTTTTTAAAAGTCTGAATTCCTAGTTTTGCTCTTTTGTGCTTTTTTGATTTGAACTAAATCCAAATGTGAGAGGAATGTCACGATACAAACTATGCAAACACTGACATTTAAAATATACCGTATTACTGATCATCAAAATTCAGCATGAACTATACAGATGTTCTGTATTACTATTCAAACTGGTAAATGTTTGTTGCCCTGATGAATTTGAAATACCAGAGTTCTTCCAAATCATAGATCAGACAGCCTCTTTGTGGTTATTGTTGATAACAACAATTCACTCTTTTTCATTGCAGGAAGTGAATAACACGTGGTGCTGATGTTACATATTTCTCCTATGAGGGAGGTGGTTTCTTTATGTCACAGGTCTAAAGAGAAGGATATGAATAAAGAGTGGGTTATTTGTATGAAAGTAGTTTCAGTTAGCTGAACTCTGACCAACAAAACAAGAAAGAAGTCTCTAAATTGCCTGTTTCGTCCAACCAGCAGTGATAAAAGAAATACAGATACTCTATTTGCATTAATGTTAAAGGGACAGTTCACCCCAAAATCAAAGATACATATTCTTTATTTTACCTGTTGTGCTATTTATCAATCTAAATTGTTTTGGTGCGACTGGCCTGGGCTCAATCCGCAGCGCCCACGGGACCATAATAAGAGGCAGCACGGAGTCGTGTCATTAAAGCAGCACAATCTCGGTCTCTCACTCTTACACACACATATTTTTTTTTAACAAAATGTGTCATAATGAGTCCTCAAGTGCTGTTTTTACTCCTCGTGTGGACGGCGTACACTCGCCTCTTTCTGTGCTCAGCATCTCCTCTCATCATCCCTCTGTGTGTGTGTGTGTGTGTGTGTGTGTGTGTGTGTGTGTGGGAGTGCAGACATACCTGAAATTCACATTTGCGGGCCCTCTCCCCCCTAAACGGTGGCATTTTGAGGCTGCCGTCTCCAGCCGTTAAGCCTCTTGTAAGGCTGTGTAAGTTCTCTAGAAACTCACAATAAAACTGTCTATGTTGACAAATAGCACTACAGGTAAGATTGTCTTGATTTGGGGCTGAACTGTCCCTTTAAGAAGTCAATCCTAACAGTTGAGAATCTGGAACCAGAAAATATTTGTCAGTTTTTGCTTGATGAATGACCCGATTAATAATATTATATTAATTAATATTAATTTTCTGTTGATCGACTGATTGCCTGGCCCTTGGCCTTTTGAAGGATATTTGTTATCTGATACAGATAATGAGACAAAAGTTTTCAACTCTCATCTTCATACCTCTACAAAGTTAACAATGTGGACTGCTGCAACAGACGGGGGGTGTTAGTTGTTTTTCCAGGCGATTCACATCACTGTGACCTACCTCTAGCACCGGGCTGGCCCCGAGGATGGTCCGTTCAATTCCGCTGGAGTACGTCTTCTGGCTGAGGGCCGTCAGGCAGTGGATGAGATAACTGCTGCTCTCAGTCTTCCCTGAGCAGCTCTCACCAGACAACACAATGCACTGGTTGACCTGCCGATTCAGCATTGCCTGGAAGGCCACGTCTGCTATGGCAAATATATGAGGGCTGAGTTTGCCCAGTGGCTGGTTGTCGTACATCTTGACATACTTGGGATTGTAGTAAAGAGGAAGGAACTTATTGGGATTGATGGCGATGAGGATGTTGCTGGCGTAGGTGTAGATTTTGAGCTTGTAGAAGCGCTGGCGTAAAGCCTCCAGAATACTCTCCTCGGTCACAGTTTGTAGGTTACAGAGGTCCGCATAGTCCTCACCGCTGTTTTCTACTTGGTTGCCTCCATTGTTGGCTTGCTGGTCCTGCAGGATGAAGTAGTACCCATGGCTCTGAGGGTGCCACCTCTGTGTCCCTGGCGGCCACAGCAGAACTCTCTCCAAAGGGCGGTCCCCAGCCTCCAGCAGCCTCTCCTCTTTCCCATGTCTCCTGACCTCCAGCAGGCTGTACGTTCGGCTGGCATCCAGGCCCAGAGTGACCACGGCATTGCGGATGACCGTCCGTACCGTGTCCGCAGCGCTGACCTGCAGGGGACAGTAGGTGGCTGTGTCCTGGGAAAGCCTGGGGTAGATCTGCACAACACGGGCCTCTCTATCATGTTCTGTAGTGCTCATCCTGATATGCAGACAGGCGTCAGCATAACTCACTGGGCGTACTCTCTGCCAGCATCCACTGTAGAAACACACACATTATGTGACCAAATGGCAGTTTAACATGAAGGGGAATAAAAAGTAGGACTTATTGTAAGAGCACAGGTCAATCTAAGGTTGATTTGCATTTTAAACATGTTCTTTAGTGTAAAATGTATTTATTTCTGGTACAAAAACTTCTGCAACAGGCAAATAAAAACGCATGTCTATCAAATTGCCTTTGTTTGCACATGCAAATAGGGCTACCTGCTGTGTAAACGACAGCCGACATTTTCCTTATTCCCATTCAAATTCCCACTTATGCATCCGTCCATAAAAGTGTCAAACAAAACCAAAATGTCAAAATAAGTCTGACCTTTTGAGAAATAAACACTCATTTTAATCTTTAAAAAGCCGAAATACTCCTGAAAGCGACGAGAAGAGGATCTCTGGCGTTAACGCACTCCTACCGCACAACCTCAGGAAAGAAAAAAAGTTCATTCACCTGAGTTTCCCCAACAACAAAAAGATGAGCCAAGAAGCTGCTTATTACCCGTTTTAAATGATAGAAAGTATATTCCCTTCTGTTCGGAGACGTTAACGCTCTTATAGACTACAGCTTCTTTAAGAAATCGAGATTAATGACTCCGCGTCGTCCTGATCGAAAAGTTAGGCTCACTTTACTTCCTCGATTTCTGACACACACAAACACACCCACCCGTCGACGAGCTGGAAATAAATGTCTTTCCCTTCACTGACCTGAGAGCGGTCACAGTTCAGCCAACAGGAGAAAAAAAACCCACCACGGGACTTTGTGTCGGGGCGAAAGAAGGTGACAGTGGGTACGTCCCAAGTCTCTTAATTGCATCCCCGTTTCGCTCACTTGCGTCCTTTCCTTGCGTCTTAGTCCCTCCCACCTGAGATGCACGGAAACCATGCGAGGAGAGAGGAAACGAGGAAATATGTTTTAAAAAGCGTCACATGAAGCGGACGTCTGTGATGACTGCGGCCGCTGATCACAGCTGGATCAGCTGTCAGTCGACTCTAACAGCTGGAGAGACTTTTGAGAAGTTTGTGTCTAAACACATGATCACTGTACTTAATAATAGTAAATAACACTAATAACTAATAAAGACACAACGTTATATCATCACTGCCAGAGTAGAGGTGTTTTCTCTCTGTAGCATAATTACCTCTTGAACATATGTATTGATTATTTATACACAGTCTGGGGTATTTATACTGTGTTCTGTGGTATTTATACTGTGTTCTACCTTGAGTCTCTTTCATCAACATACCGTCCACAACTCCTGGCTCAATATGTGAGGAAGCACCTGCTGAACCTGTGCCAGGTGCCACAGCACAGGAAGAAATACAGAAAATGTCAGTTCAGATATTCGTGGAGGCGCTGGTTTCGTGGATATTCAGGAAAGCAAAATTGAACTGGACCACTGCAGACTCCGAGGCCATCATTATGCATCTGTTTGAAAGAACGTGGATCGAAGTCCAGGGTGTCGATTTTGATCTCACCCCAAACACACCTTTAAAGAACTTAGACAAGGCCATTTTCCAGGACCTGTGTAAGAAGTGGGGCAGTGTAGAAATGGTGCTGCTGTCCATGCACAGTAAATTTGTCGGAGTAAATTTCACTCAAATTGAAAAATTTTTTACTCTAGAAAATATAACATTTGGTCCCAGTCTAAATAGAGTAAAATCTACTCTTGCCTCAGAGTTAACAATTGAGAGTATTTTTTACTCTATTCAGTGTTTATATTTAACTCTACATGACGATAATTTACTCTATGTAGCATAAAATGAAAACAACTCCACTGCCATTTTACTCAATTTAGAATTGTTTTACTCTATACGGAATTATGTTTTACTCAATTTAGAATTGAAATTAGAGGAACCAGAACTTGGGAACTGCATTGCCTCCTCTGTCAAAGATCACCTGATGACACCACCCAAAAAGAGCAGCACCATCTGCAAGTTCTTCTAGTCTGTGGGCAAAGCCATCTCCAACATCTGCAGGCGTAGAAATAAGGTTGGTGTTATATAGGTGAAGGTAAGGTAAGGTTTAATTTGGGGGCTCCTGGGTTTTCCTACATTCAGTGAATATTAACTTCATTCACTAAAAAAAAAAAAAAAAAAAAAAAAAAAAAATTCTTTTTAATGCGGTATTCATCTTGAGGGGGAAAAAATTTGTGAGGCTTTTTTTTTTTCTTCAAAATAAACGCAATAAAGAGCTCCAGTGCTGAATCACATCCAGGTTTTGTGTCCTGCACTGTCCTCCGTCCTTCATCACAGAGGGACAGAGACCAGCGGAGCAGTAGGTCGACGTGGGGCAGCACTTGAGCTCTCAGGGCCACCTCTGAGGGCCACAGTGTGACCTCTGAGGGCCACAGTGTGACCTCTGAGGGCCACAGTGTGATAGAGAGCGACACGACGGAGCAATTGAATTGACCTCATTCGTTTTGAATGGTGAGCTGAAGGGATTGAGCACCCCCTGGTGGAGGTTTGAGGTATTACAACCAGCTCACAGCACACCGAGAGTACACTTATTTTACCAGATAAAGGCAGTACATGTACCCAAGTAGAAGTGCTTGGGTACTACCCAAGCACTTCTACTCGAGTATTTCCATTTTTTTGCTACTTGTACCTCACTTTTGTACTTTTTATAACACTATATTTTATCACGCTATGTTAGTCTTTAAAAACGTACTGATATATTGTTTTTCTGGTTCTTTGAAAAATATTTTACCTCTTCTCTTTCATTTTATAGTATTGTATTGTATTGTATTTTTCACATTTGTTAGCTGCTTTCTGGAGCTAGACACAATATAATTCCACAATACATTGTGCTATGTATTATTGTGTATGTGATAGGTAAATGGGATTTGATGTTAAATTGCCAGCTATATAAGTAGTTACTTTTCAGATTAAGATTTAATATACATACAATAAGCTTATAACGTATGGTGCATTGTTAAAGAGTAAACAACTGGTTTGCAACCTTTTTTTCCAGTTGGGGTCCATTTTACCAGTTAATAAACGAGACATTACTCGTAGAAACAGATGGGTTTATTTAAACAAGTTTTCAAGACTCAAAGATGTGACATCCAAAACAAAACACACAATTCACAAAAAGGCAATGAATAGATTTTTTTTTTTCCTGTCCTGTTTATCAGCACAACCGGTCAGATTTATCTTGTGACTCTTTGGAGGGGCCCGACCCTTAGTTTGGGAACCACTGGACTGAATACTTAAAAGCGTATAAAGTAGTTCAAACTAGCTCCACCTGGACCAGCTACACCAGTAAAATAATGCTTACAAATTGATGGATCAGTATTATTAATCTAATAATGTCATAAATGCACTCTTAAAATAAGAAACACTATTTTTCTGACACAACAGAATAGAATATATGTATAAACAGAATAGAATACAGCTTTATTCTACCATGTCAGGAAATTTGTCTTTGCCTCACAAAATAAAGTCAAAACAATTATCATTACACAGTACAATCACACACAAATCATCTGCTTTATATGTGCAAAAGTTGAGAAAATTAATTGAAATGTTGTGACATGAGAATATCTTTGTGCTGTTTGTTCATTATAGTGGTTGCAAAGGTCCCCTTATTTATTAGTTTTGTTTACCTGAGGTGTTTCACAGTGTTGTCCAGACTCCAGAAGGCTCAGAGTGGAGAAGGTGGTCAGCTTCATTAACAATAGACAAAGTGTTTGGTTTGGTGATTCAGGTTTAATGCCAGGTTTTAATGGCATCCTCTTGTGTCCCGGTCTGCACTCCTAAAACTGGTCCAGAGGCTCCAAATCCTTGTGACAATTATAATTAATATTCTGGCCATCTTGTGAAAGTATAGCAGCTGAAAGTAATTGGGTGTTTGGACTTGAAAAACATGTATGCATTTATTCATAAGGGGAGTGGGAGGTTATGTGAGAGTATTTTAAGGTTATATTTTAAGGTTATGTTAACAATACGAGGCTAGTATTTGTAAATAATGCTGTTGGACTATTTGTTGGGCATGATAAAGCTCCACAGGGACCGATACGTGTAAACCTGTGACCTTACTTTGTTATGTGCTTCCTTTCACCATAATTTGGCCTTTTATTCACATAGGATACTATTATATTTAGTGTATTAGTGCAGCATTCAATAAAAGCAACTCATATAATGCAAATCAATGTAAACCTGCAGTAAACCTTGAGGCGTGTAATGTTCTTCTTCAGCTGCGTTGATGTTTTTATCTCACTTGCACAAGTGGACACATTGTTTCTCCTCTTCTTGCTGACCACAATGTTCTTATATTACATTTCATACAAAAACACAATTTAAAGCACTTTACATAATCGTTAAAGAGGAACAGCAACAAACAACATTTAAATGCAAATTTAAGGAATAGAATTAATTAAAAAATACATTAAAAAGATAAAAAACAAATAAATACAAGATTGGTCAAAATGTAAGTGTAAGGTGGAAACCAAAACTAAGGCAGCTAGTGTAAATGAATAAAAGATGGCTGCTGATGCTTGACTAGAGGATTATGTCACATTGAGTCGAGTGTTTTCATCCTTATGAGGGCTCAGTCTTTGACATGTTGAAGAACCTGAGCACACTTTAGAAGTACTCTCCACTTTCAGGTGAGAAAAGATCATACGACTGTGAAACAGGAATAATGAACACACACAAAGATTAAATAAAAAGTCCAGTCTGTATTTTGGACTTAGTTATGTGCCACAGATATGTTATTGCAGAGTAAGAAAAAAAACAACACGTCCACAGGAAGAACAATTGTTCACCCATGGAAGATATCCAAAATCAATAGCATCAGTTGTGCTCATGCTAATGCAGCGCCTGTCCATTCAGACTGCAGAGGTGTTGAGCCGCTGTATCCCCATTTAGTGAAGAAGCTCGCGGACACACTGACAGCTTATTATAGGGTGAGCAATGAGGAGAGGCAACGTGAAGTGTTATACTCAGCACATATCAGCTGCTGCTGATAACGACTACCTGCAGAGGCAGCCAGATTCACCCACACAGGCAGACAAACTAGGACACACACAGTATATATATATACACACACACACACACACACACACACACACACACACACACACACACACACACACACACACAGTTTCTTTTGTGTGAGAAACGCAAATTCATCACTCCTGCTGCTGAGTGCTGTGATAAACATGTTTGTGGTCATCTGCGATGTGCTCCTTCTGATTCATTTAATGGGGATGATGATGACGACAGCCTTGTTTGCTCTGATTGGGTCACATTAGATGTCACTCTTGTTCCTGCTGTACTGAGCCAGTTCTGCAGAGACACACTGAATCCAGTTCAGTAGGGACAGGAGTGCACAACTCGGAAAAACAGTTCCAAAAATGATTTCGAGCACACAAAGTTCAACCAGCAGTGGTTCCATTTTAAACTCTGTGAGGCAACGTAAGTTGATCATACTTTTATTGACTAAAATCTTCTTTATCTTGAAAAATCTGCAGCTTTACGAAATAATCTTTACCAGAAATACAGTGCTGAAAATGAACTCCTTCTTCCTTCTCTTACCCCCACACTGTTCTGTACCGTGTGTCTGGACATGCAAGACCTTTAAAGCATTCCTCTCTTACTGTACAGGTGGCCCATTCTTTTCATCCAGAGCATCCTTCTTCTCTCACCTCTCCGT